TGAACAAGCTGAACAACACGACTGGGGGAGGGGAGGAACCAGAGTCACCCTGGGGAGCCTCAGCAGGCTTTCATCAAAATCCTCCCTGGGCTTATTTCTGACAAGGCTGTGTGTGTTCAAGCTTGAAATGACCAGGACAATGAGTGTACTTGGTGTGGGACAAGGTAATTCAAGGAGGGAGAGAAGGCAAGCCCTTTGGCCTTGGTCCCTGGGAGCCTACCCTGCAGGTTTGAGAGGCAGGGTGACAGGCCAAGGATGTCTGCTATAACCTCTGAGGGTAAAGCCACCTGGGCTCCCTGCGGGTGGTGAAGAATAATCTCTGAAGGTTTCAGTGCTCCAGAGGCCCTGTGAGTGGCCTGAGGAAAGGCTTCCTTTGATGCTTTTGGTTATCAGACCTCACACTGTCCCAAATTCTGCCCAAGGGTGGTGTCTCTGACCAAAGATCTTTTTTTAAAGATCTTTAATCTTTTTTAAAATATATATTTTATTGATTATGCTATTACAGTTGTCCCATCCCCCCCTCTTATCCCCCTCCTCCCAGTACCCCTATTCCCTCCAGCACTCCCTCCATCCCCTTAGTTCACGTCCATGGATCGTACGTGTAAGTTCTTTGACATCTGTACTTTGTATTCCTTTCTCCCTAGTCTGTGCTCTTTATCTTTAGGAAACCTTCCTTTCACCCTACTTTCTCTTCTCTTTGAAGTTGTCACCTGCAGTAGACTGAATGGTTGTTCCTGCCCCAATTCCAATGTTGCAATCTAATCCCCAATGTTATCCTAACAGGAGATGGGGGCCTTGGGATGTGTTTAGGTCTCAAGGATGGAACCCTTGTGGATGGGATTAATGCCCTTGTGAAAAAGACTCCAGAGAGATCTGTTGCCCCTTCTGTCATGTGAGGTTATAGTGGAAAGTTGGCTATTTATGAACCAGGAAGTGGGCTCTTACCAATCATCTAATCTGCTAGCAGACCTTGATCTTGGACTTCCAGCCTCCAGACCTGTGAGAAATGAATCTCCATTGTGCATAACCCACCCAGTCTGTGGTAATTTGTTATAGTAGTCAGACAGACTGAGACATCACCCTTTAAGAAATGATTCTTAGAGACTTCTGCCAAGATGGAGGCATAGGTGGATGTGCCGTGCCTTCTCACACAACCAAGTTTAGAGACAACTAAATATTAGCAACAGAAAACACAGCCAGAACACAGAAAATTGAACTTTTCGGAAGTCTGTCAACAACAAATTCTTCAGCCTGACTGGTAAGGGGCGAAACCAGCGGCTGGTGGAGCGGGGTTGCACAGGAAAACTCGGTCGGATGGACTCAGGCGCGTGGAATCCAGGCGCAGGGTTGGACCTAGTGAGTGACCGAGTGAGCAACCCAGCGACCGCGGAGGAGGCAGCAGGGGAGCAGGGCTGCGTGTTGACTGTGGTCGTGCATTTGTGCACGGATAGACAAGCCAGGGAGTGGGTGATTGGACCTGAACCCAGCGGGTCCCCACAGCAAGCGGCAGGGAGGGTGCTGCCATTTCCCCGCTCTGACCATGCCCCCACATACAGCGTCACAACCCAGTGACCTGGGAGTCCAAGGCTCCGCTCCTTACACTTAAAGGGCGCAAACAGACCAAAAATGGCTCAAGAAGATCTCAAAGCCCCAGAGCCTATAAATCTAAGCGATGAAGAAATAGCAAAACTCTCAGATGCACAGTTTAAAACACTGGTGATCAGGATCCTCACAGAACTGGTTGATTATAGCCACAAATTAGACAAATATATGAAGGCGAAACTAATTGAAATGAATGGAATTGCACAGGAAACCAATAGCAATGAAAAGGAAACTGGGACTCAAATCAATGGAGTGGACCAGAAGAAAGCAAATCATGGCCAAACAGAAAAGAGTCAAGAAGCAAGAATTCAAAGAAATGAGGAGAGTCTTAGGAACCTCCAGGACATCTTTAAACACTCCAACATCCGAATTATAGGGGTACCAGAAGGGGGAAAGGCACAGCCACCAGTGGAAAACTTATTTGAACAAATAATAAAGGAGAATTTCCCCAATCTGGCAAAGGAAATAGACTTCCAGGAAATCCAGGAAGCTCAGAGTCCCAAAGAAGTTGGACCCAAGAAGGAACACACCAAGGCACATTATAATTACATTAGCCAAGATTAAAATGAAGGAGAGAATCCTAGAAGCAGCAAGAGCTAAGGGGACAGTCACCTACAAAGGAGTCCCCATCAGACTGTCAGCAGATTTCTCAAAAGAGACCTTACAGGCAAGAAGGGGCTGGAAAGAGGTATTCCAAGTCATGAAATCCAAAGACCTACACCCAAGATTGCTCTATCCAGCAAAACTTTCATTTAGAATGGAAGGACAGATAAAGTGCTTCTCAGATAAGATCCAATTCAAGGAGTTCATCATCACCAAGCCCTTATTATATGAAATGTTAAAGGGACTTATCTAAGAAAAAGAAGTTAAAGAAACATGAACAGTGAAAGGACAGCAAACTCACAGTTATTAAGAACCACACCTAAAACGAAAGCAAACTAAAAGGACAGCTAGATCAGGAGTGGAAACATAGAAATGAAGATCTCAAGGAGGGTTAGCAACAGGGGAGTGGGAGGAGGAGATGGGGGGAGAAGGTACAGAAAATAAGTAGCATAGACAGTAGATAGAAAATAGATGGGGGGCAAGAATAGCTTGGGAAATACAGAATCTAAAGAACTTGAGACACATGGTCATAAACTAAAGGGGGGGTAATGGTGGGGACGGGGGGTAGGGTGGAGGGGAATGAAGGGAGGGAATAGAACAACTGTAACAGCATAATCAATAAAAATTTTTTTTTTAATTTTATTTAGTTACTTTTCAAGTACATTTTTTTTTCTCTTCCCCCTCCCCCCCCGCCCGGTCTCCCCCCTCCCTCCCATTCCCCAATAAAAAATTTTAAAAAAAGAAATGATTCTTATTTTAAAAATGATCCTTATTATTAAAAAATAATTATTCAAACAGTATCAAAGATTTTCAATGAACAACAAATCTTTTCTCCACACTACATTTCCCATTTCTTGCCAGAGGCAATAATCAGTATCAGTCTCCTGTGCATCTTTCCAGATACAGCCTGTTTATATCTCTATATACAAACCCTGGCTATTTTATCTGTAAACACAGCAGAGCAGGTTATATACACTGTTTCATACTTTTTATTTTCTGCTCAGTAATGTCTCACTCATATCAAAACACATCTGTCTCATTCTTTTTGATGGCTGTATAATATTTGACTCTGAGCTCCCCCCACCACTCCACTGATGGACAGCCTTTTGCAAATACAAATGGTGGTGCTCCTTGTACATGGGACAGACGTCAGGCACCTAAGGAAGCACACCTGTCAGAAACAACAGTGCTTTCCCAAGAGTTATTAAAGCTTCCCAAGAGTTATTAAATAGCTCTTTAATAGAAAAAGTTATTAAAGCTTCATTCTTCCAGTTGCCACCAGACTTCCCAGGCATGGGCTGCTTTGGCTGCCTCCTCCTTCTCCCCACTCCTTAAACACCATTAGTATGGCTTTTACCCACAGACACAGTCGAAGACTACCGGGGACCTTAATGTATCACCTTTGACTTTTCTTTAGAATTTGATGATGTCACTGCTCATCTCGTCCTGAAACTCTCTTTGTGTGGCTGTCACGGAGAGATAATCTTTGTCTTCCTCTTTTTCTAATCATGTTTTTCCTGTGTCCTTTGCCTGTCTTCCGAAAGTCACCATTTGGCAGGAGCTGGAGGGAGTGGAACCCGCTGGGCCAGCCCCTGGGGCTCCTGGCTGTCACACACCAGCGGTCACACCAGCTGCTCCCTGCCTGGGCCCCAGAGGGGTGCTAGGTGACCGGTATCCAAGCCCGAACTGTTTCCTAAGCTCAAGTTCTTCATTTAAAAAATTGTGTTTTTAATTCTTGCATTTTATTTTATTATCACTATGTTTATAGTTATTATGTACTATTTAAAACATATGAAAAGTTGCAAAGAATAACCAAAAAATACAACAAATGACACAGTAAATACCAGTGTAACTACCATTCGGCCTAGTAAAATGTGACCGATACGGGTGCAGCCTCTTTAGTACCCTGCCTGCCACGATAATCACTCTGCTGAATTTGGAGTCTGTCATTTCCTTGCTTTTTAACTGAATCCTGCATTTCTGACTGACCTCTCTGGTTATCTCTATATGGGTATCTTAGTATGGTTAAAAGCAAACACAAGTGATTCCATTTATGTGAGAATACATTAGGTAAATCTCTCAATCCACAGAAATCCTTCCAAAAAGATCTGTTTCAGGGGTGGGCCAAACAGAACACATCAGGAGGCCTCTTTGTCATTTCTGAGATGTACCAAAATGACCAGTGGTTATTTCTGAATGCTAGGACTGTGGATAGTTTGTATTTTCTAAACTTTTAACAATGAGACATGGATGACTTTAATAATAATAATTTAATAGTACCCCAAATTAATCTTTCCCTTCATCCCTCATGCCAATTTAGCTTTGACCCCAGACTTCCCTATTTCTGTCAGAATTCTAGAATTCTTCCTACGTTCAAAACCTGGCAGGTGTGTTTGATATCTGTTTCCTCTTTCGCATTCCATCAGTTTCAACTATAGTTTGGGGTTACTTGAGTGAATTTCTCTCTCTTCTGTTAGATTGTAAGTTTTCAAGGGGTTCAGACCCTGTCTTGTCTAGCTCCCTGGGGCCAATCTCACAGCACAGCTCACAAACAGATGCTCCAAATATGGTTATTGAACATTCTTCTTGGTGCCTCAGGCTTGTCTACACCTTGTAACTGTCACCTGGCTAAGAAATTGCCACTATAAATAAGCAGTTTCTGTTTCAGGTATGGTTTGCCCCTGCTCTCCACACTCCGGTCCTTACCCAACCCAGGCCTCAAACTACGAACCGGTAGTTAGAGTTGGTATTCAAATCCTTAGCCACAGTTCAAGGAAGCAGCCCCATAAGAACCAAGTCATCCAAGTGAGCTTCTTTTTTTCCCTTGGCATTGTTGCCGCTTGTCACTCCACCTGCTGGGGAGTTCTTGACGAGATTTTGCTTGTCTTCCATGCTGTTCTTTTTGTGGTTTTCCTCATTTCTTTTTGTGATCGAGTTCCAGATGGCTCAGCAGTGCCTCCAATATGAATATTTTGACAGATTGCTGAATGCTTGCGTACCGTGTCACCTCCGATGTTCTAATACCCCTCCTCCAACATGTCAGCATTACTGTAATGAAGGTAAGTACCACTGCTTGAGCAATTATTCCTTAATGCGAAGTATTTTCTCCATACTGACTATTCAAAGAACAAACATTACAGGGAAGATGGTGAGCTTTTCCGAATCAAAAAAGAGAAAGAGAACAAAGGAACTATTTAAATGCCAACAGGAATGAGGTAATTATTCAGAGCTGAACTCAATTTTATTCAGCACTGTCAGCAACCCAGTGTTTTATCAACTCCTCTAATTAAGTGTTATTTAGAATTTGAAAGTCAATGATGATGAATTAGGGGAATTGGATAGCAAATAATCTTTACACGATGTAGATGTTATCAGTTCATTATCTCTCTGACATTTCTTTTAATTCAGTGAAAGGAACAAATGCCATTCTTTGGACCTGTTTGGGCCTGAGCTTGCTAGTGTCTTTGACAGTTTTTGTGCTGATGTTCTTGGTAAGGAAGATGCGCTCTCCACCATTAAAGGATGAATTTAAAAGCACAGGTTGGTTTGATGGTCAGTCTTTGATGTCAGCCTTCTCCCACATTCTTCCCTTGATAATAACTCTTTTGAATTACTGAGGCTTCCTTGGGAAGCATCTGTCTCTCTCCCTCTTTCTTTTTTTTAGAGAATAGGGGAGAGGGGAGGGGGAGAGTGGGAAGGGGAGAGGGAGAGTAAGCACATTGATTTGTTGTTCCACTCACCAAACTATTCATCGGTTGACTCTTGTGTGTGCCCTGACCGGGGGTTGAACAAGCAACCTCGGCATAACAGGATGACACTCTAACAACTGAGCTACCTGGCCAGGGCAAAACAGCCATCTCTCTGACAAAGGTTTGCGCATTAATTAAATGTCATGCTATCAGAAACCGCTACTATCAGGAAAAGTATATTTGACAAGATCCATGGCCACAGTTTTAATACAAATATGTGTTATTTGCTTGGGTGAACATTTTACTGCCAGAAAATGTTAGAAATGAATAATCAGTGGTTCCTGGATTATTGGAGCAATCATCTCAAAGATTATTATCTCTATAAGGAGTAGAGAATGAATCCCAGAGGACTGAATTTTCCTAGAGAAGTGACTGTTCCTTAAAGCCCTCAAGGTCTTAAGGGCTTCTTAAGATAAAACTATTTTGGCAGCACCTTTGCCCATGATCTGATCCCCAAATCTCTGCAGCCACTGCCCTATTTCTTTATGCACTTTTTTTTGTGCAAAATCTGTAAAGAATCCACCTTATTTGCTTCCTTGTACAGTAAGGAAAGGTAAATGGTGGTTCTTCATAATTCCTTCCTTTTTTTTTTTTTTTGCCTGGGCTCTGAGAAACAGGTGGGGAATGACTTTGAGTGTGGTACATGGGAAGATGCAGTTGTGCTGTGGAAGGCTGGAGAAGTAGTAAGACTTGTCTTCACAGGGCATAACGGAGACTCCTTCGTTATGTGACCACAGGGATTCATAACAGAAATTTTAATCTGACATGCAATGGGAAAAGAGAAGCCTCTTTACTTTCAATTCTGAAGTGTCACCCACAGGCTGATCTTGGTGTGCTGTAACAGTATAGTGGTAATGTGTCATCCTGTAAAATAAGGCCGAGGCCAGTTGTCTAGATTGCTATGTAAAATCACTCGATTTTAAAATGTGGGCCAGAATAAGTAAACACTAAAAACACTCTATGCCCTAAGGTATGTCTTTGAGCCTACTGTGTCCTGTGGGTTGTTCATGACTTCTAGTGCAGAACTACATGCATTTGTTTTGTAGGAAAAGATCTGTCTCATATTGCTTTGAGCCTGAGGTGTACTGCTGAGAGTCATCACCGTACCCCCCGGGAAGTTTAGGGTAACTTTTCTGTTTCTGCATAATTAGGATCTGCTCTGCAGAAGGAGGCTAATGCTGGCATGGATGGTAGAAAAGATAGCAGGACTGGTGAGGAAATTCTTCCCAGAAGCCTGGAGTACACAGTAGAAGAATGTACCTGTGAAGACTGTGCCAAGAGCCAACTGAACATCGATTCTGACCACTTCTTTCCACTCCCAGCTATGGAGGAAGGCGCAACCATCCTCGTCACCACAAAAACAAATGACTATTACAATGGCCTGCCAGCTGCTGGGTGTATCACAAGGATGGAGAAATAGATTTCTACTAGATAATTAACCATCCTGAGTAGTGCAGAGCTACTCTCAAAATCTTTTGTCAGAAGGAAAGGATGATGTACAACATCACCTTAGGATGCTTGTTATCAGTTGCTGATAAAGGTTTTTGCCCTCTAATCCTAGAAAATCTTTTTGTTAGATATATTTCTCTATCTTATTGTTGGGAGCTTAACTGTAGACACTTCATTGGTTTCAATGATTCAATTCTTGACTCACTGAAGAAAAGTACTGCAATGGGTAGGTCCCAGAGTCACACACTTCTATGGCTGGACCTCTTCCCTCCTATACATGCACATATGCACTTCAGAACAAACTGAACTTTTCTCTTTATTGTTAAAGGCAAGCAAGATTATTCTATGCACTTCTGTAGATAGGAGAACCCTAGAGTCAGCCTTGCTAATTCCGTGTGCTACGCATGGGTAGTTCCTGACCTTGTGAGTTTCCAGCTTAATGGAGGCCTCAGCATTACTGTAATTATATAAATATATGTAGAATTAAAAACTGTGATAAAAGGTTACTTGGTATCATTTTCAGGCCCAAATATAGGTGATCATGATGGTTATCACTTACATAATTACTAATGTGCAGCGATTGCTCTAAGTGCTTTACCTATACTAACTCATTTAATGCACGAAACAAATTACAAGGTAGGTGGACCATTACCATCTCCATTTTATAGATTATGACAGAAACTAAGTCAGAGCAAGGTAACACAGCCAGTGAATGGCAAAGCCATGATTTAAACCAGACATTTTGATCTATTTCACTTTTCTCTTCATGTCAACTTAGTTCCATTCCTGAGGTCTCCATCTCTTTGGGCTACTATCTTAGTCACTGTAGGGGGAGGGCTCCTTTCCTGGGGTTGGACAACGCTCCTGATGAAAGGCTGTGCAACAGGCGATGCCCTGTGGTCACCAGTTGACTTTGATCATCCCTAAGAGGCCCACTGCCACTGAGCATAAATCCTCAAGGTCTGGGGGGCTTTGTGGCTTTTGTGTCAGGTTTGGAATATGGGGAAACATGGTGGGATCTTTTCAACCACTTGAGGCCCGTCATGGTTCCATTTCAGGCCCTTGAGGAGAACAAACAGTACAGTGGTTAAAGCACTGGCTCTGGAGCCAGACTGCCTGGGGTTCAGTCCTGGCTGTTACTAGCAAGTTATAGAATTTTGGTGACTATAAGAAAGGTACTTAACCATTTTATGTTACTTTTGCGCATATATATTTTTTTCCATAAAAGTGTCTGGTTCATAATAAGTAATTTGGTTAGTTACTTTGCTATGATGGTTTTTATTAGTCCCTTTGAGGTCAGGTCTCTCTGAGGGCAGGCACATGCATTTCTTTTCTGTTATACTGTTTCTAGCTGCTCCTTGTCCCCACACGTCCAGTACAACCTCCTCCATAAATTTGGATGTTTTGAAAGTTGACGTTAGGCTTTTTATTCTTTTTTTTTTTAAAGATTTTATTTATTTATCTTTAGAGGGGAAAGGAAGGAGAGAGGGAGAGAAACATCAATGTATGGTTGCCTTTCATGCGCCCCCTGCTGGGAACTGGCCTGCAGGGAACTGGCCTGCAACCCCGGTATGTGCCCTGGCTGGGAATCGAACTGCAATTGTCTGGTTCGCAGGCCCGCGCTCAATCCACTGAGCTATACCAGCCAGGGCTAGGCTTTTTATTCTTGACTTCCATGACCAGGCTAACATCTTGGAGAGAAGGAATTACAACACTTGAAGGGGATGGTTGGTGGTAGAAAACAAAAAGCACCAACTACAATTTCAATAATTTATCCTGAGTCAAGTGAAATGAAAAAAAGGTACAGGGTGCTATGAGAAAGTATAACATGATCATCCTCCTGACAGCTCCAGGAAACCCTCCGTGATATCTTACCAAAGCTTACAGAGGCAGGCTGAGTTACACTGGGCTTTCCAGAGGAGGAGTCAGGCATACCCGCTCTTTAACTAGAATAACAAAGTAACAATTGTCAAGTATAATTTTGAAAATGGGAAAAACAACCCTATTACACAAACACACAAGTGTTTTCATTAAAAATGAAAAAGTCAAAAATGTCTACAGTCGACACATCATAGTTGCAGGTATACAATGTGATTAGACATTCAGAAAACCGACAAAGTGATTACCCAGATAAATCTAGTACCCATCTGAGAAATATTTTTATTTTTACATTCCCCTACACATAGCTGTATTTTCACACAATTGTACTCATGGTTTACAGACCTTTTTGCATGCGGCTTTTTTTGGGGGGGGGATATTTATTTATTTATTTTTTAGAGAGATGGGGAGGGAGGAAGACAGGGAAATATCAACAGGTTGCTTGTCGTATGTAGCCTGATACCTGCAACCTAGGCATGTGCCTTGACTGGCAATCAAACCAGTGATGTTTCACTTTGCAGACAATGCCCAACTAAGTGAGCCATGCTGGCTGGGGCTGCATGGGGCTTTTTTAACTTAGTGTTTTATAAGTAGCCTTTTCCACTCTCCCATAATCTTTTTTAAAAATACTTATCTTTAGAGGGGAAGGAAAGGAGAGAGGGAGAGAAATATCAATGTATGGTTGCCTCTCGTGTGTCCCCTGCTGGGAACTGGAACTGGCCTGCAACCCAGGCATGTGCCCTGACTGGGAATCGAACTGTGATCCCTCAGTTCGCAGGCCCACGCTCAATCCACTGAACTACACCAGCCAGGGCCCACAATCTTTATAATTAGCATTCTCAGCTACTGCAGACATTCCTTGTGAGGAGGGCCACCACTTGTTTAGCTATTTTGCTGTAGTTGGGCTTCGGTGCTTTCCAATTTTTCCCTATTATAAGCAATGCTGCAGAGCATGTTCTCTCAAGAGCTCTTGACTTCTGCTGAGTCCAAAAGATAAATTCCCAGGAGCCAGAGATTACCTGTTGAGATGCAATGTAATAGAAAGACCATGGGACTGTGGGTCACAACTGAACTGGGCTGGAATTCTGGCTCTCTCCTTAGTGAGGCTTGGTCCAGAGTTCAGTATTTTCAACTGCGTATCAAGGCACATTGGTGGATCAATCATCTCAGTCAGCAGTTTTAAAAAAAGTAAAGTGCAAGAGAATGCATTACTTACAGAGCTGTTGTGTTAAACAACTATTACTACTTAAATATAAACATGGGTTGTGACGATAAAAGTGTACTTTTCTACTGCGTTGCAGGCAAACACTCTGAGCAAATGCTCCTTTAATTCTTCTGGGTCCTCTAACCCCCCATCTCTAAAATGAGGAAGGAAACTGGATTGATAAGATTGTTGTCAATACCAGTTCACACTGGATCCACTCACCTCCTGCACTGCCACCACCCTAGCCCCAGGCACTATCTCTTGCTAGACAATAGCAATGGCCCCTGACCAGCTGCCCCTTCTCCACCTCTTCCTGATACAATTCGCTCTCAACCAACTCCTAAGAGTCATCGTCTAATAAAACCTAATTCAGACGCTCTGCTTAAATTCTTGCACTGGCTCCCCATTCCCTTACCTACTTAAGAGTTAGGTGGAGAAGTACACACCCCTTATCACAGCTTAGGCCTTCCACCTACCTCTTCAGTCTCCTCTCTCTACTACTATCCTTTTCTCACCGTCTTGCTCCAGTCAACCTCTCCAGGCAGGGAGGGCCTTTACACTTGCTGATTACGTAACACCTTTTCTGAGGATCTTCCCGGGCTGTCTCCTTATCATCCAGGTCTCAGCTCTAAAATCGTCTCCTTAGAGAGGCCCTTTAGTACTGTCCATCTCCCCTGTCTCCGTTATTCTTAAAATTTCCTTTCTAGGGGCCTTCCTTGTTCACTATCTGGCTTTCAAGCAGAGGTGTAAGCCCAGGAGGACGACGAAGCGTCCCCACCGCAAACCCCAGGACTCGCTGACCACCTCGAGTCCCCATGGGGACGCAGTCTAATTAGCCCGAGTCCCCAGCCGCCAATGCCCACGACTGAACGCAGCCTCCCGCGCCCTGGGCCGCCCCCGAGTTTACGTTCCGGGTCGGAAGGCGGTGCCACGGCGGTGCCGCTCCACTTCCGGGGCGGGGCGGACGGGCAGGCGGGGCGGGGCGCGCTGTCGCCCGGCCTGTCTAGAGCCCGGCGGCGTCTGTGGCGGCAGTGGAGGCAGTGGCGGCGGGACGGCGCAGGGACCTGCCCGGGGACCGGCACCATGAGCGGTGAGTGGCGGCCTCGCCGCTGTCACCCGTCCTGGCCGCCCCGGCTCCCGCCGCTTCATCTGCACATTCCGGCCCGAGTCCCCGCGTCCCGTGCCCAGACCACCATCCCATTGCTCCCAGTTTCCTGACCCCAGTTCCTGGCTCCTGGTCACCTGCAGTTCCCTGGCGTCCCAAGTCCCTCCTAGTCCGCTCACTCCTGTCCATCACTTAAAACCAGCTCTTCGACATCTGTACCCCAGTCCTCCAGTCCCTCCCAGTCCTCCGACCCCCCTTGGCCAGTTACCAGACCCCCGTGCTCAGACCTCCCAGGTCTCAGTTCCAGCGAACTCTTAGACTCTCTGAGTCCCACTTCCAATTAAGAGTTCCCCTGCTCCCCAGTCATCCCCACCACCCAGGCCCCTTGTCTCCAGTCACTTCAGTATCCACACAGTGTCTTCTCTGGACACGCCTAATTTGCTGACCCCTGAACCCTGTGTCCCCTCAGCTCATGGTCCCCAGAGGACTATGAATTCTTCAACCTCTTTGTTTTTCCTGTCCCTCTAGTCTCCTGTCCCCAGTGCTTTGCTGTTCCAGTCACCAGTCGTTTCCAGTTACTTTGTTCCTCACTTTGTTCCTTAGTTCTTACATTTTGGTGTTTCCTCATACTCCAGCCCCTTCATTTTCTTTTCTTTGATCATTTGAGACCTCCCTTGTAGGGTCCTGCCAGGCTTCCCTTGTGCAATGTTGAGCCCATCTGGGGACCGTCACTTGCCCTGCCCAGTTCACCCCAATCCCTCCCACAAAGGGAGGGGACTGGTTTTGGTGGGGAGGCTCTAAGCCGGAGGGAGGTAGGTGTGGACAGCCGTCCTCAGTGTTTCTGCAGTTTAGCTCCTAGACTTGGATGGGAATTCTCAGTCTTTTCCTCTGTTGTTCTGGTGCTAAGTCATTCCTGGGTGTTGCATGTGGAGATGGGAGTGACTCAGGGAAGTCTCTCCGGTCACCCTGACTGGGATCTGGATTGACTTAGGAGGAGCTGCTTACCCTCATACTGGTCACCTGCAGTGTTTTCTCTTCACTGAGAACGCCAATCCCTTTCACCCAGGGATCTCTGGAGGTTGAGAGGGGGCAAGACAAAGGCAATGCATCTCTTCATTTTTTAACTTTTAAATGATCTGTGTGGATTTTTTCAAAGTCTGTGCTATTGTTTTTGCTCTTCAAGAGCAAGATTTGTGAAATCGATGGTTCTAATCAGGGAGCTGAGGGTGGAGGGGCAGATTTCGTGGGAGATAGTCCATCTTCTGTGTCCAGAGCAAATGATTTTTGGACCAATTAAAGTTTCTGGTCCTTGAACATTAGTGATACCACAACAGAGATGTAATGAGCTGGTTTCCACCCAGGAGGTAATATAGTAATATAAGGTATAAGAGCAGGTCTTGGAGTTAGACAGCCTGGGCTCAAATCCTGATCCTGTTGCATAAAGCTGTGTGATTAAGACTAATTTACTGTGTCATTCTGGAAGTCCTAGCAGAATGGGAATAAATAATAGTACCTGTCTCCTAGTCTTGTTGCAATGACCAAATAACATTTCTTAGGTGAAGTGATTGGTGTTGTGTCTCTCACATGGTGTGTAGTCAGGAATTTAGAGCTGTTATTGTTGCTTTCACAAAGATATGAGGTTCAGGTGGGGTTGTTTTGTGGCCCGGCTCCGGGATAAGGGGCTAAGGACTTCCTGAAAATCTCTTTCTTGTAATATGACCAAGAAGTCTCTGCCTCGGGCTTACAGTTCTGCCTTCATCATAGAAATGAGTGAACTTGACAAGCTGGGGGAAATCATCAATGTATCTTTCAAGGAGCAAGTTAATATCAAAGATAAGATTTTAAAAATGTACTTAAAAATAATTTGATCTAAAGCCAAACAAATTACAAAAGGAAACCAACAAATGGTTTTTGTAAAGGGAAAAAGCATTAAGAATAAAAGCCTCCTTTTGGAAAGATTGTAATTGAGACAGAAAACGTGTTTGCTGAGGATGGAAGGGGAAGTCCAAAGTATTTTCAGTCATTTCTTTTTTTTTAAAGTAAAAGTCTTTATTTCTTCAAATTTAAACAGTACGCATATAGGTGTCCATCAGTCATTTCTTGAGAATACAATTGAAATGGGGGTTTTTCACCTGTGGGATTGATAATTGACACACAATAAAATAATATGGTGTGGAAATATTTTCTTTCTGTCCTTTTTATTAATAGAAATTTTCACATATCAGGGAAGTGAAAGGAATAGTCTAATGAACAGTTGTCAACTTATGAGCATGTCACCTGTAAACCTGTTTACTTTCTCTCTCCCACACCAGTTTATTTTGAAGGAAATCTGAGACATTGTATCATTTCATCAGTAAATATTTTCATATGTATCTCTAAAATACAGGTACTCCTTTTTAAAAACATAATTCCATTTCTATATCAAAAAAATTAGCAATAATGCATCAACGCCATCAGATATTAATCAATATTAAAGTATCCATTATTGCTTTATAATTTTATTATATAATTTTTTAAAAACTCAGGATCTAAATAAGGTTTAAACAATGTAAATTGGTTTCTTTTAAGTCTCTCTAATTTTTAAGTTTAATTGTAATTATTTATTGTTTAGTATATTCACAGAGTTCTGTGAACATCACCATAATGAATTTTAGAACATTTTCATTACCCCAAAAGATGCCCTATACCCACCAGTAGCCATTCCTCATTCTCCCTTCCTTCAGCCACAGGCAATCACTAACCTGGTTTTCTCTCTGGATTTCCTATTCTGAATATTTCATATAAATTAATCATACAACATGTGGCCTTTTGTGTCTAGCTATTTTCACTAAGAATGTTTCCAAGGTTCATGTTATAGCATATATCTGTACTTCATTTCTTTTTGTGGCTGAATAATATTCCATTTTATGGATATGTCGCATTTTTTTGGTTGTTATTCAGAAAAAGGAGAAACTTTATTCAGGTGAACAGTTTGTAAACCAGAGAAACTGAAAGTGCATTCCACTGAGACAAAGGGGAGGCCTGCTTATTTATTTTTATTTTTTATTTTTTAAAGATTTTGTTTATTTACTTTTAGAGAGAAGGGAAGGGAGAGAAACATCAATGTGTGAGAGAGAAACAATTGGTTGCCTCTTTGTACATGCCCTGTCTATCCAACCAACAAAGTCACACTGGTCAGGGCAGGGAGGCCTACTTATGTAAAGTGCCCATGCTGGTCACTGATTGGTCCATTTTTATGCAGGTGAGGAACCCAAATTTGCAGTTTAATTGGTTCAAATAGCATTGACCCGATAGATTGGTTGTTATGGAGCCACTGATTGATTGGTCAATAAGATGCAAATAGGGGCTATAGCTGTGCAGCTCTGATTAGATGGGGCAGGTCTCAGCCCATTGATCCAAGTACTCTTCCAGGAATTCTTTTAAAAGGTTCAGCTCAGTTGGTAGGAACCCAGACCAGGAGGCTGGCAGCTCAGTCTGTGGCTTTTCCCTGAAATGTAGTAGTGTACACATGAGGCCTCTGTCAGCAATGACTGGTAGACTCTGATTATGAATTTGGGCTCAGTTAACTTCTAGGAGTCCTTCTTGGCAGGTGTATTCCTTCTCAAGGTCATCAGTTTTAATACAAATAGTGAATATTTACTGAGTGCTTAGTTTGTCAGGCACCAAGCTTTATCTGGATTACATTTTAAAAAAGATTTTATTTATTTTTAGAGAGAGGGGAAGGGAGGGAGAAAGAGAGGGAGAGAAACATTAGTATGCGGTTATCTCTCACATGCCCACACACCGAGGACCTGGCCTGCAACCCAGACATGTGCCCTGACTGGGAATTGAACAGGTTCGCAGGCTGGCACTCAGTCCACTGAGCCACACCATCCAGGGCTGGATTGAAGTTTTAAATCCTCTCAAAAACCTTATGAGGTAGTTATATTATAATCCATCTTTTAAAATTCTATAAACTGGAGCATACAAAGGTGAACAACTTGGCAAAATTTACAAATCTAGCATTCAAACCCAGCATCCCAAAGGAGTGTCATGTAGGTGTCAGAGAAGCAGTAAAGTGGGAAAGGTATGCAAGGGTGGGTCATGGGGAACACCAAAGACCCACTGATTGTAAAACATCTGCAGAGCTCTTTAGAATCTTTAGGAATTAAACACAGATACAGAGTGTCAGTCTTGTTGGCTGTAGAGGTATGATTGATTACATTGTTGTAAAGGTCTAGAGCCATCTCTGAGAGAGGGAATAAGAGGGATGGACTAGTAATCACGAAGGGGTAAAGAAACCAAAGGGAAAGCAGCAGCATCAAAAACCTCTTAGGATGTGCCTACACCACAGGTCAGTCTTTGTTCCAAAACACATTTAGTGGAAGGAAAAATGTTTCCTGGTCTTCACCTGCTTCACAGTAGTTGGCCAGTGATCCAGAAAACTTGCACATAGCAAGGATTAGACCGACTCAAAGATGCTGTGATTCTTCTGATGGAGGATGAGTTTACAGTCTTGAAAGCTCCCCTGCCCCTCTTTCACTGCACGGGTGAGGCAGCTCCGGTGGGGCTTCTCGGGTGCTCTGTGTGAAACGAGTGCTGACTGTAGCTCTTCCAGCACTGGCTGGGCTTACAGGGCTTCTCTCCTCTGTGGATTCTCTGGTGCTGGATGAGATCTGCACTCTGACCGAAGACCTTCCCACACTCTCACAGTGCTACTGCCTCCGTATGTTGTGGACTCCTCAGTGATTAAAAGGACCAGAATGCCGACTGAAGGTTCCCCCACACTCATTACATTCACAGGGTCTTTCTCCAGTGTGAATTCTTTGACATTGAATGAGACCTGAGCTCTCAACAAAGCTCTTCCCACATTCATCACATTTGTGTTATCCTTTTAAGTGGTTTCCCCAATGCCCTTCTCTCTGACCCTTACGTTCACTAGCTTTTCGAAGTCGGGGATCTTTGTGTGACACCTCCCAAGTCTCTCCATTAAATAATCTGCCACA